AGACAGGGGGTCGTTTGAAATGACTTTAGTTTCATTTCATGTCTGCCATCTGCTTTTTATCTCCTGAATGAACAGAGGAGCTGATTCCATCAGGTTCCCTGCAGGTTGGTTCCTCCTGGAACGATCCCAAACCGTTCCCTAAGCACCAACCCTCCATTCCCCCCAGAGGGTCGGCCACATTAAGGGCCGTCCCAAACCATGTAGTGGGTAGGGCCAGTGGGCTTTTCAGCCCTTAAACAGCGAGTCTCCATCAGCGCAGACTCGCTGAATTAGGCAGCAGGTGTAACGGTGAACTAGTGGAGGAGGAAACACGTTCATTCAAGTCTAAGTTCTGCTGTTTGCTGCATCTTCGTCACCCTGACAGAAAAACGACGTCATTTATCCCAAAATGGAAGCTCCTCTTTGGAATAGTTGCCATAGGAACCAATGCTTTCCGTTGGAGGGTAGAGGGCGTCCCATTCACGGTTTTTACGGCACTAGAGGCTGTTTCTTTTGGGCTGGGAGTGACACTAACAGTTAGGGGTGAGTAGTTAGAGGGAGGTTTGGGATTTAGCCGTCAGCATTTCCTCAGTGACACATGGTAGTGGCTGCATCATGCTGTGGTGATGCTCAGGTTGCTCTGAGCCATTGGTTCTCAGTGATAAAAGGAAGACAAAGGCAGGCTCTGAGCCTGGGTCCAGTAGAGGGTTCTGATGGACCCATGTCTGCAGCAGACAGGCTGCCTGCGGGTTCCCAGTTCCTTCCCAGTTCCTCTCTGCCTTACAGCCGGTTCTGCTGCTGTTCCCTTTAAGAAACGGGTTGGATCCGGGCCTGGACCACAGCTTGGATCATGTTGTGTTCACTTTTAGTCCAGGACTGGAACCCTTCCCATCCTGCAGCCGAGTCAATGACAGGCGCTCTGATTGTAGACGGTGACGTTCATAACATTGGGCAAGCTGGTTTCAGAACCAGAGGGTATGAGCTGGATCAGAACCGGATCAGTCAGCCCAGGAGCAGCAGGACAGTGGGTAGCTGGGTTTTATCCCGATGGGAAGGGACCCAACCATTCAGGCCAGTGTGACCCAGCTGGAAGCAGCGGGGGCTGAAGGAGCTCTGAGGGCCTCTCTGTCGTAAAGGTCGTCCTCCTGTTCTCTGCTGATTCTGCTCCGTCTGTTTCTCTGTCTCTCAGGTAAAAGCAAGGAGGCTGAGATCAAACGGATCAATAAGGAACTGGCCAACATCCGCTCCAAGTTCAAAGGTGACAAAGCTCTGGACGGCTACAGCAAGAAGAAGTACGTCTGCAAGCTGCTCTTCATCTTCCTGCTCGGCCATGACATCGACTTCGGACACATGGAGGCTGTCAACCTGCTGAGCTCCAACAAGTACACCGAGAAGCAGATCGTAAGTCCTTCCTCTTCCTGGTTCTTCCTGGTACAACACCTGCTGATGATGTCATCAGGAAGCTATAATTATAACGCATTAAATCAATAAATGTTCCACACAGTGAAGCTTAAAGTATAATATTCTCACATCAAATGATCTTAAAATGAACTTTTATTGAACAACAGCAACAGAAAAGAGAACTTAATCAGCTCTGTGAGCGCTAACCTGGAAGCTGCTGCTGCCGCAGTGCATGCTGGGACAGCTGTCAGTCTGTGTCCGTTCTCAGTTTGTTTCTAGTGAACTGAAACAGCACTATGGCTGAGGCTGATGACGTTTCACGGGGAAATGAGAACGCACAGATTGAGAAATGGCCATCGTTACGACCCGATCTGTCCCGGAAGCACGATCCGTACCATCAGCTCATCTGCACATCCAGATATACAGCCGGGTCGCCCTCCATTTTATTTTTTAAAGAGACCTAAATGACGTTTTCCCCTCCCAAAAATAAAAAGCGCACAAAACTATAATGTGTTAAAGGTTAATAATGTATTTCTTGATAACATGAATGCATTAAATTCTTTCTGTTTTATCTCTCTGTTCCTGATCTGTACAGGAAATGGGATCCTACGCTACTTCCAGGAGCTAACTTTATCAGCTTTTTGAGTTTTATGATTTCCTCTCATGTTAACATTATGTTAAATAGTGTGTAATCTAAAGAAAGAAACAACTAAAATGCAGATAATCATGGTTTAATCAGATTTACTGCTCTGAGGGTGATGACGTCAGAGAAGCTGTTTAACGGAGATGATAAATGTAAAAAGCATCAAATTGTCTCACAAATGTCCTAAAACATTTTTTAAAGATGTGTATTAATATTCTATAGTTATAGAAATAAGTAATTTTAGCAGCATAATTACTTTATTTATGGAAACCCGGATGTATATCTGTTTGCGGGGGACGGATCGGGTAGTGACGGACAAGTCTGATCATCCAGAGGCCGTTTCTCAATTTACGAGAAGATCGGACTTGACGAGAACGTGAGCATGCAAGCACGTATGTGTATTGGAACAGAAGCGTACTCGTGACGTCATCACATGCAACGTTGTTTAGCGTTTCTTTAACAGTCAAAACTATTTATTCCCTACACAAAACATTTTGAAAACAATATTTTTAATTTCTAAAGCTTAAAAAACATTAAAAAAATTACTGAACCGAGAGAAGTGCACCACAGACGGGG